AACTAATGGATAGTTAGAGATAGAAAATCTGTTTCGGATGAAATTTTCTTGACCTGCAAAATTTACAGAGATATATACAAAAGGAATATCACATAATCAAATCAAAACTGTCAAGATTTAAAACAGACACGCATGTTGTACCAAACCAAGATGATATGACATTTGTCTTCAACATCTGGTTGAAAAACTCATAACGTCAAACATGTTATGATAGTTGATAAAAATACTACAACATCTTGATCAACGTCAGTATAGAACTATGTTTTAGCAAAATCATATCAATCCTAAAACCATGGAACTAACAACAATACAGTTACCTAAATGCTTAGAAAAACTTCCTAAGCAAACTCCATTCATGTTCCTAATGATACCGCCACATCCCGCAACTGAGTTAGCAATCTGGGCTCCATTTATATTAAGCTTGACCCACCCCGTATCAAGAGGCTTCCATCCGACATTAATTAACCTTATCTCGCAGCTATATAATCCATTGAATCTTTGATGCAGTAGCATAATTTTGAACTTTATTCTTGCACAAGAACATCAGTAGTCGGAGGTCTATTATAATTGTTTTCATGGCTTTCCTTGTTCCTCCAAATCCACAGACTATGTCAGCTTGTTGCCCAATAGCTAGCCCACGCGTTATTGACATTGTGGTTGATGTTTATCCAGTTTATCAGACCTGAATTGTAGAAAATATTGGAAATGCTAGTGGGAACCTTATTGCCCCACAGATGCATGGCAAAATTGTAGTTTCTCAATGCATGAAGCACTGTTTCTTTAACACAACCACAATGATGGCAGCTAGCACTACCTGGCCCTTTAGAACTCAACGGGAAATTTGAAGCGATACGATCATGTGCCAACAGCCAGATAAAGCAGCAGACTCGCTCATGCACTTTCAAACCCCATAGTTTACTCCAAAGAATGCATGTATCATTACCATCATGGACCATAATATTATGGTAACTAGCTTTCACCGAAAACTGGTGTTTGGTGAAGCCCGCAAATAGAAAGTCATCATTTCCATACTCACTACGAGGCAGAAAAATTAGCCATGGTTTTCTACAAGATGATATCCGGAAGCCACGAGTGTAGAACCTTCCAATTCCAATTTCCTTCCGATGTAACTAAATCGCAAACTCTGTAATGAATGAATTTCTCAAGGATACCAACACAATGTTCACTAATGATAACTCCAGGCTCTATCCAACAATCAGTCCAAGCCTGAATAGATTCATCGTTGCCGACACACCAATTACCAATGCTACACATCATATGATCTGTCTTAACTAAATCCCTCCAAAGTTTCGAATTTGTACTCTTGAAACTAAGGTTGTTATTGATTGGTGTTTTATATTTGTTCCTCAAAACATTACACCAAAGCTTGTCCTGATGAGTGTGCAATTCCCAAACTATTTTCATGAAGCAGGCTCTATTGAAATGATCAAGTTTCCTTAAGCTTAAGCCTCTTGCCTCCTTCAATGTAGTTATGGTATCCCAGCTAACAACATGCATTTGTTTCTTCTCAATAGTGTCACCCCATAAGAAGCCTCTGCATTCTCTGAATATCTTTAATACAAGCTCTAGGAAGAATGTTTGTCATCATCTGATAAATCGGAACATCCTTCCATCACACTCTTTGTATGAGTCAATCTTCCTGCCAAAGACAAATTGTTAGCTTTCCAATTAGATTGTTTTGTTGATATATGTTCTACCAGATATTGACAATCTTGTCTTTTAATACTTTTTCCATTAACGGGGACACCTAGGTACTTCCCCATGTCAGATTTTTCTTGGAAACCTGATGCTTAAATCAACTTGTTTCTCAACCCTCTTTGAACATTCTTAGAAAACATGATGCATGTTTTGTATTTATTAACTTCTTCACCCGACATATTACCAAATTTATGGAGAATCTTCATCACACACTCCATTTGGGCTTCATTTGTTTCACCTATCAGTAAGAGATCATCAACAAACATTAAATAAGACAACCACGACCCCTCTTTATCAAACTGCAAAGTCTTCCATTCCTTGTTATGCATAGCTTTCAAGATGAGATGAGATAGCTTCTCCATACAAAGCACAAACAGATAAGGGAGAAATAGGATCTCCTTGTCGAATGCCTCCTTGGGGTCTAAAAAAATTACTCCTAGCTCCATTCCACTTAACATTGGTCTAGAAACTGCATGCATGATGATGTCTAAGAAAGCTGGATTTCAGTAAGGACTCTCCAAATGAAATCTCAATCAATCATATCATATGCTTTGGCTAAATCTACTTTAATCATAAAGTAACCTTTCTTCCCTTTCATTCATTGCATCAAATGCATAACTTACTTAGCAATAATAATGTTCTCATGTATATCTCTCCCAAGAATGAAACCAGTTTGTTACAGAGAGATCCATTTCACAATACACACTGAGTCTGTTTACAAGAATCTTTCTCAACACTTTGTGCACCGCATTACACAACGATATAAGACAAAATTGGGAAACATTTTGAGGTTGGTTCACCTTGGGGATAAGACATATATCAGTTTTGTTAATATGCATTATGTCACTAGGTTTATGATAAAATCCTGCCGGAAAACCATCCGGTCCAAGTGCCTTCCAAGGGCTCATAGAAAAAATAGCCTTTTTTATTTCCGCATCCTCCAAAGGGATGGAGAAACTCGCAACATCAGCTTCCTCCATAATAGGAAATTACATCCACACTAGCTGAAAATTTGAACCCATAAAATGTTGGCAATCGTTTTCCCCACCAATTAATAGCCTGACCTTGAACTCAATAAGAAGATTACACTTTCAATACACAACTCAACTCTTTTGCTTAAAAGCTTCAAGAGTGAGAACAATACTCAACTCATTACCTAAAAGCTTCCGAGTGAGAATATTATGTCTAACACAAGTATCAAAAGATACAATGGTGACTTACAACTACACAAGAGTCTCTCAAAACCTAAGAATCTAAGCTTCCCCTAATTTATAAATTATTGAAAGTTTTTTCACATTAGGTTAGTTCTTCTCTTTAAATACACCTCTGCAGTCCATGGACTTCGAATTCTGCGTTCAGAAATTTCTTGATCCATAAGCTGAGTGATACATCAATTGTGCAGCAAAATCTCCTTAAATCTTGGAACAAACAATACAAAATTTCTTAAATTGTCTCAATGTCCAATTTAATAACTAATGGATAGTTAGAGATAGAAAATCTGTTTCGGATGAAATTTTCTTGACCTGCAAAATTTACAGAGATATATACAAAAGGAATATCACATAATCAAATCAAAACTGTCAAGATTTAAAACAGACACGCATGTTGTACCAAACCAAGATGATATGACATTTGTCTTCAACATCTGGTTGAAAAACTCATAACGTCAAACATGTTATGATAGTTGATAAAAATACTACAACATCTTGATCAACGTCAGTATAGAACTATGTTTTAGCAAAATCATATCAATCCTAAAACCATGGAACTAACAACAATACAGTTACCTAAATGCTTAGAAAAACTTCCTAAGCAAACTCCATTCATGTTCCTAATGATACCGCCACATCCCGCAACTGAGTTAGCAATCTGGGCTCCATTTATATTAAGCTTGACCCACCCCGTATCAAGAGGCTTCCATCCGACATTAATTAACCTTATCTCGCAGCTATATAATCCATTGAATCTTTGATGCAGTAGCATAACTTTGAACTTTATTCTTGCACAAGAACATCAGTAGTCGGAGGTCTATTATAATTATTTTCATGGCTTTCCTTGTTCCTCCAAATCCACAGACTATGTCAGCTTGTTGCCCAATAGCTAGCCCACGCGTTATTGACATTGTGGTTGATGTTTATCCAGTTTATCAGACCTGAATTGTAGAAAATATTGGAAATGCTAGTGGGAACCTTATTGCCCCACAGATGCATGGCAAAATTGTAGTTTCTCAATGCATGAAGCACTGTTTCTTTAACACAACCACAATGATGGCAGCTAGCACTACCTGGCCCTTTAGAACTCAACGGGAAATTTGAAGCGATACGATCATGTGCCAACAGCCAGATAAAGCAGCAGACTCGCTCATGCACTTTCAAACCCCATAGTTTACTCCAAAGAATGCATGTATCATTACCATCATGGACCATAATATTATGGTAACTAGCTTTCACCGAAAACTGGTGTTTGGTGAAGCCCGCAAATAGAAAGTCATCATTTCCATACTCATTACGAGGCAGAAAAATTAGCCATGGTTTTCTACAAGATGATATCCGGAAGCCACGAGTGTAGAACCTTCCAATTCCAATTTCCTTCCGATGTAACTAAATCGCAAACTCTGTAATGAATGAATTTCTCAAGGATACCAACACAATGTTCACTAATGATAACTCCAGGCTCTATCCAACAATCAGTCCAAGCCTGAATAGATTCATCGTTGCCGACACACCAATTACCAATGCTACACATCATATGATCTGTCTTAACTAAATCCCTCCAAAGTTTCGAATTTGTACTCTTGAAACTAAGGTTGTTATTGATTGGTGTTTTATATTTGTTCCTCAAAACATTACACCAAAGCTTGTCCTGATGAGTGTGCAATTCCCAAACTATTTTCATGAAGCAGGCTCTATTGAAATGATCAAGTTTCCTTAAGCTTAAGCCTCTTGCCTCCTTCAATGTAGTTATGGTATCCCAGCTAACAACATGCATTTGTTTCTTCTCAATAGTGTCACCCCATAAGAAGCCTCTGCATTCTCTGAATATCTTTAATACAAGCTCTAGGAAGAATGTTTGTCATCATCTGATAAATCGGAACATCCTTCCATCACACTCTTTGTATGAGTCAATCTTCCTGCCAAAGACAAATTGTTAGCTTTCCAATTAGATTGTTTTGTTGATATATGTTCTACCAGATATTGACAATCTTGTCTTTTAATACTTTTTCCATTAACAGGGACACCTAGGTACTTCCCCATGTCAGATTTTTCTTGGAAACCTGATGCTTAAATCAACTTGTTTCTCAACCCTCTTTGAACATTCTTAGAAAACATGATGCATGTTTTGTCTTTATTAACTTCTTCACCCGACATATTACCAAATTTATGGAGAATCCTCATCACACACTCCATTTGGGCTTCATTTGTTTCACCTATCAGTAAGAGATCATCAACAAACATTAAATAAGACAACCACGACCCCTCTTTATCAAACTGCAAAGTCTTCCATTCCTTGTTATGCATAGCTTTCAAGATGAGATGAGATAGCTTCTCCATACAAAGCACAAACAGATAAGGGAGAAATAGGATCTCCTTGTCGAATGCCTCCTTGGGGTCTAAAAAAATTACTCCTAGCTCCATTCCACTTAACATTGGTTTAGAAACTGCATGCATGATGATGTCTAAGAAAGCTGGATTTCAGTAAGGACTCTCCAAATGAAATCTCAATCAATCATATCATATGCTTTGGCTAAATCTACTTTAATCATAAAGTAACCTTTCTTCCCTTTCATTCATTGCATCAAATGCATAACTTACTTAGCAATAATAATGTTCTCATGTATATCTCTCCCAAGAATGAAACCAGTTTGTTACAGAGAGATCCATTTCACAATACACACTGAGTCTGTTTACAAGAATCTTTCTCAACACTTTGTGCACCGCATTACACAACGATATAAGACAAAATTGGGAAACATTTTGAGGTTGGTTCACCTTGGGGATAAGACATATATCAGTTTTGTTAATATGCATTATGTCACTAGGTTTATGATAAAATCTTGCCGGAAAACCATCCGGTCCAGGTGCCTTCCAAGGGCTCATAGAAAAAATAGTCTTTTTTATTTCCGCATCCTCCAAAGGGATGGAGAAACTCGCAACATCATCTTCCTCCATAATAGGAAATTACATCCACACTAGCTGAAAATTTGAACCCATAAAATGTTGGCAATCGTTTTCCCCACCAATTAATAGCCTGACGTTGAACTCATTGGTTAAGATTCCAAGTCTGAACATATTGCACATTGTCATAACTCATAATATTGACAGCTTTCTACAATGGAGCCACCATTTACATTATATTAAGGTTGAACAACACTTTGTTATTTAATTTGCAGTAAGACACAAGAAAACACAGCTGCTCCTATGAAATCAAAGATAATCAGCCTAATGCTTCCACAAATTCTGCAGGAATTGATCAGAGGTGAAACTCCCAAGCATCGAATCCATCCCCTGCAATTCATTCCAATCAATGTTGTCAAATAGTGGCTATAACAAAGCAGAATTTGAACATGCCACTATTGTTCCACAATAAACGATTTAAAAGTGTTGTCAAATTGCAGAAAGATAAGTGCTTTAGTGCTACAGCATAACAAAATTTGAACAACCACTATTTTCCGTGATCTGCAATTGACAACCCTGTTTCCAATTACTAGCCATCAATATAATTTATATTCAGGATGAATATAATAGTTATAGCACAAAGTTAAAGCTCTTTCATAACATAACACTTCAAATGCAACTTTGGTTCAAAATATACATATATGAAGATAATATATAGTATATGGATAATCATTATCCAATTAGAAAGAAAAAAATGATTCTAACTTTAGCATTGCAGGATGCTTGTTGAAACATTAGTAGCAGCAATCAATGTCTTCAACAAAAATGAAAAAAATGACCTTCAACATGTTTATCATTACTTTCATCCTCGTCTACTATATAAGATCATAATAAATAAATAAATGATTTTACTATTAAACCCTTTGTAAAAATTATTCTCAATGCAAACATTTGTTTTCTAAGGTTTTTAGTAATTAACAAATTATAAGCTCTTTTGCTCTCTCACCATCCAAAGCATTGCAGGGTAACGAACGAGATAATCAGAAAAACATACAAATGAAGCAATGAATAATAACACTGGTAACCATTACAAACTAACTTACAAATGAAAGCATTAGTTATTCTGCAAATATGAAGTACAACAAAGTGAAACAATTAATCATTCCAATACAAACATATTTTTGCATAAATATAATTTGTGCTAACATATATTGTTAGAAGTGTAATTCTTGTTCTGTCGAAATGTATGTGACGGTGAACGTCGAATAGCTAGTTGAATGGGTTGTAAGTTGTATTCGACAGAGTCGAATAGCTAGTTGAATGGGTTGTAAGCTGTATTCGACAAAGTCGAATACAGCAGCTATGTAGTTAGTCGAAATTAAGTATGGGTTATAGCATAGTGAGTCGAATTGGTCTTGGGCATTGTATGCCTATATAAAAGACTTGTTAGTTTGTAATTTCATATTCAACACTCACATTCAATACAGTTACAATTCAGTTAGAATCATAACAAGCTTTCCATCTCTCTCTCTTCTCCTTCTTCTTCTCTTTCATAAATCATCTTTCTTGAAAATCCTTTGTTCCAACAAATTGGTATCACAGAGCTCGGTTGCGATTCAGAGAGAATCTAATGGCAAACTGAACAACAACGTCAACACAGTTTCCAGCGAATCTACCGATTTTTAAAGGTGAAAACTATCAGCGATGGATTGTGCAGATGAAGGTTATCTTCAGATTTCAAGATGTTGTTGAAATCTTGAATAATGGAGTATCAGAACTGGAAACAAATGCGACGGAAGTCCAGAAAACTGCGTACAAAGATCAAAGGAAGAAAGACGGTAAAACCTTGTTCTTGATTCATCAGTGTGTGAATTCTGATGTATTTGAGAAGATAATTGAAGAAGAAACAGCAAAAGGAGCTTGGGAAAAGCTAAAGAACTTGTATGGTGGAGATGAGAAATTGAAGAAGGTGAAGTTGCAGACGCTAATGAAGCAATACGAAATGCTTCAAATGAAAGAAGATGAATCAATTGATGCATATTTTTCAAGAATTGTGACACTAACAAACCAGAAGAAGGCATGTGGTGAATCGGTTACAGATCTGCAGAAGATTGAGAAAGTGTTAAGATCTTTAACTCTGGATTTTGACTACATAGTAGTGACAATTGAAGAGTCCAAGACTCTATCTAAGATGAAGTTGGAAGAACTTCAAGTTTCATTAGAGGCTCATGAGATGAGGTTGAAGCAGAGAAACTCAGAAAGAGAAAAAGTGGCTGAACAGGCATTGCAATCAAGATTCAGCAAGAAAGCTGGAAAAGAGAAGTCGAAGCAGCGAAAGAATCTTGCTAGTGATGAAGTCAAGCAAGAACACTGACTCGGTCAAGAAAGGTGTGGGCAACAAATATTCTGGGAAGAAAGTTGACACGAGAGAGGTGCAATGTTACAATTGTCAAGGTTTTGGTCACTATGCTAGAGACTGTCGAAGAAAGAAAGTTGTGAGTGTGAAAGACATTGATGAAGCTCAATATGCACGAGCTGGAGATAGTGATTCTGATGATCTGTTGTTGATAGTGAACACTCAGTCAAACACTGCAAAAAACAACATGTGGTATCTGGATTCAGGATGCAGCAACCACATGACTGGCAATAAAAACTCGTTTACCAAGTTAGACGAGTCAGTCGAAAATGTGATAAAATTTACAGATGGCAGGCACATCAAATCAGGTGGCAAAAGGCTTCAATATGAAGTTGGAGAAGAATCAGATGAAGGTATATAGGACTGATGGGAGGCTAATAATGAAGGTACCATTGGCGGAGAACAAAACGTTCAAAGTTGAACTCAACACATCATATCACAAATGTCTTGCTTCAACTACAAAAGAAGACAAGAACTGGCTATGGCACCACAGGTATGGACATCTAAACTTCAGAAGTTTATGCATGCTCAATCAGAAAAGGATGGTGTTTGGACTGCCTTATGTGAAGGAACCAAAGTAGGTGTGTGAGAATGCTGCAAAGCGAAACAGGCGAAGAAGGCATTTAAACACGACTTGCCCGTGAAATCAAAGCAAAAATTGGAGCTGGTTCATTCGGATGTGTGTGGACCTTATGAAGTAAAGTCAAATGGAGGTAACAGGTATTTCCTTACTTTCATTGATGAATTCACCAGACATATATGGATTTACCTTATTGAAAGGAAGAGTGAGGTATTCACACAGTTCAAGAAATTCAAGTTGCATGCTAAGAAACAAAGTGGCTGCAAATTGAAGAAGTTAAGAACTGATGGTGGTGGTGAATATACATCTGTTGAATTTGCTAGATTTTGCAATGAGGAAGGCGTAGAGCATGGGGTTATTGCACCATATACGCCTCAGCATAATGGTATAGCTGAGAGAAAGAATAGAAGTATACTGCACATGACGAGAAGCATGTTGAAAGCTAAAGATATGCCTAAGAGATTTTAGATTGAAGCAACTTCGACGGCAGTATATATTCTAAATAGATGCCCAACGAAGAAGATGGTCGAAAAGACACTTCATGAGGCTTGGACAAAGTCGAAGCCAAATGTGGGTCATCTTAGAGCTTTTGGATCAATGTGCTTCAGACATATACCTGAACAATTGAGAAAGAAGCTGGATGATCGAAGTGAAGTCATGGTGCTCATAGGTTATCATTCGACTGGTGCATACAAGTTGTATTCGCCAAACAAAGATAAACTAGTGATCAGTCGAGAAGTTCTTGTAGACGAAAGCAAAGGGAGGGACTGGAGTCGAAGTTCAGTTCGACAAGAATCAGATACAGTCACAACTGTGTTCGAAGAAGATGAACAAAATGAAGCTTCAACCAGTCAAAATGAAAAGGATGATGCTTCAACCAGTCAAAATGAAGAACCACCTGTGCAGAATGAAAGAAGGTCAATAAGAACAAGAACTGAGTCGACAAGGCTAGCTGGATATGAAAGATTTCCAGATCAAGCAATTGATGCAGATGGTGATTTAATCGAAGAAGCCATGATGATGGCTGAAGCAGAACCAATTGACTTGAATGAAGCCATGAGTAATTCGAATTGGTGTGAAGCCATGAAAGAAGAACTCAGAGGTATTGAGAAGAACAAGACCTGGGAGCTTGTCGAAAGAACCAACAAGAAATCAATCGATGTAAAGTGGATTTAGAAGGTGAAACGAAGGCCAAATGGTGAGATTGCGAAGTATAAAGCAAGATTGGTGGCGAGAGGTTTTCTACAAAAACCTGGCATTGACTTCGATGAAGTAAATGCGCCTGTTGCGAGACTAGAAACAATCAAAATTGTTGTTTCGACATCAGCATATAGAGGATGGAAGATACACCAGTTGGATGCAAAGTCAATATTTTCGAATGGTCCATTGGAAGAAGAAGTCTATGTTACTCAACCACCAGGATTCAACATCAAAGGGCATGAGTTAAAGGTATATAGGTTAAGGAAAACTCTCTATGGTTTGAAACAAGCCCCTGGAGCTTGGAATAAGAGAATAGATAACTTCCTGATCAAAGCAAGTTTCACAAAGTGTGTCTCTGAACATGAAGTGTATGTAAATGATATCAACAGTGTCAGTCGAATCATTTTATGCCTCTATGTTGATGATTTACTCATTACAGGAGCAGACGAAGCTGAGATAATGAAGGTAAAGTCAGAATTAATGCAGGAATTTGAAATGTCCGACTTAGGGAATCTCTCATATTTCCTAGGGATGAAATTCAAAGATACTGGAGAAGGAGTATTCTTGCATCAAACGAAGTATGCTCAAGATATTTTGAAGAAGTTTAAAATGAACAATTGTAATGAAGTTGTTGTTACTCCGTTAGAAACTAAAGCAAAATTGAAAAAGGAAACGAATGATGAGTTTGTAAGTTCAACCCTTTACAAACAAATCATTGGATCCTTGAGATATCTTTGCAATACTAGACCAGATATCTGCCAAAGTGTAGGATTGTTGAGTAGATTTATGGAGAAACCACAAGAGTGTCATCTCATCGCAGTAAAGAGGGTGTTGAGATACATAAAGGGAACAATTGATCATGGTGTGATGTTACCAAAGAAGTCGAAGAACAGCGCAGATGTCGAAGTCCATGGATACGCTGACTCAGATTTCAGTGGAGATCAAGACGAAAAGAAAAACACTGCATGCTACATTTTCATGATCAAAGGTGCTCCAATCTCTTGGAGTTCGAGGAAGCAAAGCATTGTGACTTTGTCATCATGCGAAGCAGAATATGTGGCTTCATCATATGTTGCATGCCAAGCAGCATGGATCGAAATGTTACTTGAAGAACTTTGGATAATGGAACCTAAGAAGATGAAGTTGTTTGTCGACAACAAGTCAATTATTAACCTGGCGAATCACTCAATGTGTCATGGTCGAAGTAAGCACATAGAAAGGATGTATTATTTTCTGAGGGATCAAGTCAACAAAGAAAAATTGGAGATAAAGCATTGCAAGACAGAAGTACAACTAGTTGTTAGAAATATAATTTTTGTTCTGTCGAATTGTATGTGATTGTGAATGTCGAATAGCTAGTTGAATGGGTTGTAAGTTGTATTCGGCAGATTAAGAGTAAACAATGAGAAGATTAAGACTAAACAAAGAGAAGATTTAATGGCAATTTAAACCCTTTGATCTTTTCTTTTTGTAAATAGTTCTGGCATGTAGAAGGAAATACGAAAATTGAAAAGCTTCCACGTTTGTTTTTCTTATGCAGGATTCCAAACTCAAATGCTGACACAAGTATGAAAGAAAATGTGTTATGATTTATGAATGATTCTTGTGTGTGAAAACAATAACACTAAATATTCTTAAAAACAGAATAGTAAGGGTAGCTAAATTGAAAAGGATTGCAATACTCAAACCATGTTCACGAACGGTTCAATGGTGGACAAGTGTTTAAATATCATCCAAAACTCCAATGACGGTCGACCACCACGTCCCCTTGAAGGTAGAAGCTCGCAATCTTCCTCATCATTATTGCTAAGATTGTGACCTGATTAATGTTGTTGACAAAAACAAATAACAACAAATATGTTAAGTTTTAAGGCACGCTCCGATTTCACTTTTTTTTCCTTTCAAATCTATGAAGCACATACATACACCAGACCCCGATTCTGACACATCAACACCACTAATAATTTGAAATAATAAATGTTTGTCCGATACAAATACAGACACTGACACATTTTTTCAGAGATGCTGGTGCTGTCGAGTTTCAAACCAGCAGAGACCAAATCACGATAATGAGGAGTACATGAAATTTTTACTTCCTAAAAAACATGGCATGTATCAGTGAAGTTTCAAACAATAAGTACAAATCCACAGTGGCCCTCCTATCAAAGTGGTACTCCATAGCAAGGTTTTAAGAAACAGTCACTTGCCGCGAAAACGGACACAACAAACCGGTATTGGAAGGCAGGTCACATCGCGACAACCCCAATCAGTGTCGCAACACCTGTACCAATCGAAATCACAAAAGTCTTTACGCAACCACAACGCGACAGCAACTGCTATTTAAAACCTTGCTGCATAGATCTTGTCTATCCTTATATCAAAATCAGTCGTTATTAAAACTAAAATGCAACAGAAACTTTGATTACATGTTCATTGAATAAGCAATAACATGGACAGCTAAGAAATCAGTGAGCAGTTAAGTATGTAATCACAGAGACACAATCCAGATTCCCAGCAAAGCAACAATATATAAAGCTGCTGCACCAAGAGAACAAAAACCAGATTTGTCAAACCATACATCAGAAGTACCTGCTTTATTCATCACTTTCTTAACTATCCATGCATATAACTTATAAACTCACTTTAATTTCACCCATCAAATCTACAAAAGCTAACTCTAGCAACAACAACAACAAAAAATGCATTTTTTTCAAATACTAATAAACTAAAGAAATTTTAGGTTTTTTTTGGGGGAAAAGGATAATAGATTGATGAAGTGGCAAAGAAAGTATCAGATGAGTAAGGTGAAAATCAAATCCTGGAAAATGAAAACTACCATCAGCGGAAAGCTGGGCAATTATCACAACAGGATCTTCAACATGAATCTTCATTTTTTTTCTCTTGCGCACAGTTTTCATAATCAAAACAAAACTAAGAGCTGGTCATGGTTTGGATTTTTGGAAGGAAAAAGTGAATTTGTGTTGTCGAATCAAAGCACGGCTAAGTGGAATATAGAATGAGATCAAGCACGGTGTCTTGTGCGGTGGTCATTGACCTTGTCGTCATTGATGCAGAAGAATGGTGACGGTTTTTTTTTCTAAAAAAATGAACGGTGATGGGCATTTCAATTTATACCCGGCCCAACATATGATTTGGGCAACGAAATTGGAATCGCTAATCTCACCCTAAAATAGAAAAGCATTTTATTCGAAATTATCCTTTTTATTTGAGATTATATGCTTCACTCAAATACACACAAATTGAGTTTCACCCCATATTTTTTAGAAAATTTATTATAAAGATTTTATGTGAGTGCAATATCTTTTATTAGATGTTTTAAATGATGTCAAAATTAGAAAATATATAGTATTTGTACATTGGATGTTATCTCTCTTAGGACTGTTTAAATTCAAACCGTTCCAAATCAAAAATCAAAAATCGATCCAAAAAAATCGAAAATTACAAAAAATCAAAATTTATTGGATGTGTTTGGATGTCATTTTATGAAAACCGGTCGGTTCATATCGGATTTCGGATGAATTTTTCAAAATCGATCCAAACAAAATCGAACCGCATACATATATTTTTATTCTTATTTCTTTTTATTAATATGATATGTTATGTGAATTTATTATTAGATGATAATTTTTTAATAATATTTATTAGCTATGTATAATCTATTTATTTTTATTATTTCAACCATAATCGATCACTCTCATTTTGTAATATTAACTTTTAGTATACTATATGTTATATATTATATCAAATCTATGATTTATTAGTAGTTTTATAATATTAATAAAAATATAATGTGTAATTTGGATATCCAAAAATCGATTCAAATTAAATCGCATAAAATTGGATCGGATTGGATTGGATTTTTTTAATATATCATCCAAAACCGAATCGAACCGCGCGTGAATTTATCTTTGAATTGGATGAGTTTTTGCTTTAAAACTGATCCAAACCGAAGCACGAATACCCCTAATCTCTCTATATCTTTAGGTTGCATTTTCATCTTAAGATACTTAGTGATCATGTCAAAAGCTTTTGGGCAAGTCAAACATTTTTAAAATATGTATTTTTGGGAAAAAAATCGTGTTTGGAGTCGACTTCCCCATGTTAGGAGTCGACTCCCTCTAAAGCATTTTCAAAAAGAAACTCTATGGAATCGATACATAGCTGAAGGAGTCGGTTATCTAGAGTTGTGGGTCAACTCCTACTGAAAGTATTTTTGAAAATTAATTATCTAGTCCAAACGGGTTGATTCTCTCGCATCTGTGATTGATACATTACACGAAGGAGTCAACTCCTATGTGTATGTATCTGTCGCAGTTGGAAAAATTACAGATTCGTCACCGTCTTTTATTCATTCCTAAGGAACATGAGAAATAATGAGAAAAACCTTAAGTGAAAGGATACTGGATTCGAGAGTCAGTTAAGTAAGGAGAAGATGTTAAGCACCCCTCACTTCCCTTGTACTCAAGAGGAACCTTCTCTAGGTCTAGGGTTAAGGTGCATATATCTAAGGTTTCTTGTTTTTAATTATCTACTTGTTTTTATGCTTTTTATTTACAATGGAATGATATTTACAAAAGGTTTGAATGGGAAAAGGTTAGTTTAGGTTAGGGGACTCGCTAGGACTTTGCATCCTTATGCTTACGTACTCTCATAATGCAATGAGAAAGCCAGAGTCTACGTAGTTCGGAGTTTTATCGGATGATTGATTTTAACTTATGAAAAATGTTTAATCTTGAGTTAGATGCACATGGACAAAAAATGATTAATCACGAAGCGAAAAAAGAAATTTAAGTGTGTTTAATAGATTTTAATTATTAAGATATTTTATTCTTTTGATCATTTGTTAGTGATGATGAAATATTTACAAATGAGATGGATATCGTAATCGGACAATTAGAATAAATATGTACAAATTAATAATTTTAATTAAATGAACACATATTTTTTTAGTTTTT